GGAAATGCAGCTGAAGGCTTCTCAGCTATCCAGGGCACAGCCTCGGATACCCGGCCCAGCCTGAGCCTGGTGAGGTCCCCACCTCTTGCTGCCTCGCTTGAGTTATTCCGATCTGGGAGCGAGTGCCAAGTATCTGGTGGGGAACCCATGCAGGACTGGCAACAAGGGATGAACGAGATGACCTCATGGGTATTTTCCTTCCCTCTCGCACTCCTATGACTCAATCGCCCCGCTGAGCTGGAGTTGCTGCCTTGGAGAGGTTTGGTTCATGCAGCGAGACCTCGGTGAGCTGCTCGAAGTCCTCACCTCTGTAATGGGAGCTGCCTGAAGGGCAGACAGAGTCTGGCATGCAGAGAAGAACACCCAGAGCAAAGCCATAGGGAGGGAAGAGCAACCCCAAGTGAAAAAGATGCTGGTTTTCCTGCAAAAAAAAAAAAACCCATGGTGAGGATGGTGGCAAGGGCTCCTCTGGGGTGGGGAAGCCTTTGGAGCGATGCAGGCAGGCTGAGCCCCACTCGAGAGCTGAGTCATGGAGAAGGAAAACTTGAAGTCACTCTCCAGATCCCCCCTGTGGTCTAACGTGCCTGGGAAGAGCCTGACGGGATGGTCACAACAGCCTGTGCTGTCTGAGGATGTCCCATCATCCGCTTTGCCGGCTGGCTGTCACCGGTCGGTGTCACCGGTGGGGCTGGGAGGCAGGGCTCGCCCTGGCAGCGGGTGCAGGATGCCAGGGTCCTTTGTGGGATGCCAGGACCCTTTGTGGGATGCCAGGACCCTTTGTGGGATGCCAGGATCCTTTGTGGGATGCCAGGACCCTTTGCGGGATGCCAGGATCCTTTGTGGGATGCCAGGATCCTTTGTGGGATGCCAGGACCCTTTGCGGGATGCCAGGATCCTTTGTGGGATGCCAGGACCCTTTGCGGGATGCCAGGATCCTTTGTGGGATGCCAGGACCCTTTGCGGGATGCCAGGATCCTTTGTGGGATGCCAGGATCCTTTGTGGGATGCCAGGACCCTTTCCTGAGATCCTCGCAGGTCATTCCCCCAGCTGCTTTTCAGGCAGGAGCTCCTTAGGGAAGCACAACTGTGGGATCAGGGTTAGGGGCAGGACACAGGTTTGCTGATGCTGCTGAAGCAGAGGCAGGTGCCGTGACAACTGCTCTGGGACTCCTTCCTCAGCATTAACACTGCACCCTGGCATCTTCTTTTCATCCTAAAAAAGACAGTATGGTGCTGGCAGCGACACCATTCCCTGGTGTGATTGTGGCCCTTTGAAATTGTCACTTGAAACACCAAACTTTTGCCCGTTTGCCTGCTTCTCTCCGGCTATGGTGTGTCCTTGATATAAAACATCCTGCTGGAAAATTCCCACTTAAAAAACCAAGCACAGGCCAGCGTGTCCATGCTGCCCTGGACGCTGCGGCACTGTGCCTATGTGGCACTGCCCTCTGCTGTCGGTGGCTATGGGGACACTGGCCAAGGCCACCACCACCGCTGAGTAGAAGAAACACGAGTTTTTGTGTCACCCTAAGGACCGCTGAAGGACCTGGAAAGCCACAAAGCCACCCCGGGAGGATGCTGCACCCAGGACCGGTGCATGGTTCCCCAAGCATGACAACCAGGATCCACGGGCAGCAAAGCCCCGGAGGAATCAGCCCCCACTTGGGTTTCCCCTTTCCCCCCCCCGGCTGAAAGCAGAAGTGGTGACTATTTTTAGTGCTGTCTCACTTTGGAAAGAGTCACGCACGCCCCAAAGCATCACCCCGGCTACGGCACCTCGCTCCAGGCAGAGGAAATGAATAACGGGGTGAGGGTCTCGCTGCCTTTCCACAGTCCCACCCCAGAGCTCTGCCTCGGGGCTGCCTGGTGTAACTGGAGTTTCCTTCCACGTGCTGGGCACACCAGCTTCTAGGGGATGTGCGTGAAGAATGACTCTTAAACTCTCTTTTCCAGCAGAGAAACACTCACACAAAACCTCCCAATGATATATATATATATATATATATATATATATATATATATATATAACTTTGCTTGTCCTCCCTCCCATCCGCAGTCCTTTATTGATTTTTCTTAAGCTGGAAGAGCTCGGGTGGGAGGATAAGGACACCCAGCATGACTCCAGAGCTGGTCCTCATCTCCCAAAGTCTCCTCGGTGAAAGGCCTCTAGATGGGGCTTTAATGCAATATTGCTGCTGGCCTCTGCCGGGCTGCGATCACCCGCAGAGCTGGGGGGCTGCTCCCCTTCCAGCACCCCCCAGGGCCGTGACACGGTGCCGCTTCACCCCGACCGTCGGGATAAGGGAACCGAGATATTCCCAGAGCCTGGGGAATGACATGGATTTGAGGAAGCCGTTTGTTGGATTGGATTTGACACCCCCCAATCCCCTTCCCCAGCATGTTTCAGCCTCCACCCCAAGAGGTGCTGAGGCCGGTGGGATGCAAAGCTGCAGTGGGAACCCCCCAAACCCCACGCACGGGCCGGGGAGGGGGGTGGGCTGTGCAAAGCTTTTGCGTGGTGCTTTTCCACCCGCCTGTTTTGCGAATGTTCAGCTGCAGGCTTGGGCTGGGCTGTTTTACACGTGAAAAATTAAAGCAGCTCCTTCCCCCCCCGCCGACCCCGCTATGCTTTTTGTTCTGAAAATAAGCAGAACCCAAATAGTTTGCACAGTGCTGGGAAGGCTGGAAGTGCCTGAGTGCGTGGCCAGTGGTGAGCATAAATTCACCAGTGTCGCTCCGGGGGCTGTTCCAGCACGAAAGGTTCATCTTCATTAACCCACCCCGCCGTGGGGTTCCTGAATTGGTTTGTTGGCAGATTTTTGGGGTCGGGAACAGAGACAGCCCCACTACAGTTATCCGAGGGTCTCGCTGTCACCCTCTGGGGACGGCTCTGTAGAGCTGGACACCTCAAACCCCTTGGGGACGGTGGCTTTGGAGAGGAGGGTTGGGTGCCAAGTGTCCTCCCGTCTGTCCCTGCGGGGACACGGGGCGGTTCAGCAGCCTGACAGACGCACTCAAGAGGGAAACTTTTTCTTTCTGGGGTGGCAGTGGGCGCCGAAATTACCTCGAGGGTGACGACGAGAGCGACGTCATCGACCGGTCTGGAACAACGCGCTGAGCACCGGCCCGAAAAGGGCTGATATTTAGGGCATTAACTAATTCCCAGCTGGGGTGCTCCTCGCCCTGCCCACGCGTCGGGGGTGTCCGTGCTCCCCTCCCATGCACCAGCTGGTGCGTCGCTCTTGCACGGGGCTGGGAGTTCTTGCACACACCACATCCAGCTTTCGCACAAGGGATCACGTCTTCCATGCGGCGTGGGCCGTCGTCCCTCTTGCCTCTGCACGGCTGTCTAGCTTTTAAAAAAAAACTGCCTGGCATCTCCAACCCTAGCACAACTGCCCAGCCTTTGCACGACTACCCGGTTTTTGCACGATGGCTCTTCGTTACCCGCTGCTGGGCATTGCACCCCCGGCCCTCGCACGTCTGGTCCACGCACAGCGGATCAGCACTTGCACGTCTAACCCTTCCATGCCCAGCCCTTGCACACTTGACCCTTGCACAACTGTCCAGCCAATCCCTGGCACATCCAGCCCTTACACACCCACCCCTTGCTTGCCCGGCTGTGTCACACCCATTCCCTGAATGTTCCCCCCCCCCCCCCCCTCCCCGGGACACCCAGGCTGGGGACACCCACCCCCTGCACACTCACCCCCTGCACCCCCATCCCTGCACCCCCTCCCTTGCACACTGCTTCCTGAACACCCCTCCTTTACACAACCCTCCCTTGCACCCCCTTCCCCCTCCACACCCTCCCCATTGCACCCCCTCCCTTATATACACCCCTCCCTTACAACGCCCCCTGCACACCCCTCTGCTGCACACTCCCCTATTTCACCCCCCCTCATTGCCCACCCTGCACAACCCCCCACTGCACCCCCCCATTGCACACCCCCTCATTGCACACCCCCCATTGACCCCTCTTTGCAACCCCCCACACTCCTCTCCTGCGCAACCCCCCCCCACAACCCCCCATTGTCCACCTCCTCATTGCCCACCCCCCCTGCACCCCCCCTCATTTCACTCCCCCATTGCACCCCCCCATTGCCTAGCCCCCCCACTGCACCTCCCCATTGCCCACCCCTCCACTACCCACCTCCTCATTGCACCCCGCTCATTGCCCACCCCCCCATTGCACCCCCCCTCATTTTACCCCCTTATTGCACACCCCCTCATTGCACCCCCCCCATTGCCTAGCCCCCCCCCTGCACCCCCCCATTGCCCACTCCCCCATTGCCCCCCTCCCCATTGCACCCCGCTCATTGCCCTCCCCCCCATTGCACCCCCCCATTGCTCACCCCCCCGCACACCACTCTCCTGCACCCCCCCCATTTCCCACCCCCCCACTGCACCCCCCATTGCCCACCCCCCATTGCACCCCCCATTACACCTCCCCCATTGCACCCCCCCATTGCCCACCCCACCATTACACTCCCCCCATTGCACCCCCCCATTGCCCACCCCCCATTACACCCCCCCATTACACCCCCCCCATTGCACCCCCCCATTGCCCACCCCGCCATTACACCCCCCCCATTGCACCCCCCCATTGCACCCCCCCATTGCCCACCCCCCATTGCACCCCCCCATCGCCCACCCCCTCGCACACCCCTCTCCTGCACACCACCCCATTGCCCCCCACCATTGCCCCCCCCATTACACCCCCCCCCATTCCCCCCCCTATTGCACCCCCCCATTTCACCCCCCCCATTACACCCCCCCCCCCGCACCCCCCTCGCACCCCCCAACCCCTCCCTCCCCTCCTCTCCCCCCCCCCCCCCCCCACGCCCCACTCCCTTCCCCAACTCCCGCCTCCAAGCTCGGCGGGGGGGGGGGGGGGGAAGGGGAGGCGTGTCCCTCCCACCGCCCCACCCACCGCCCCGCCCCTCCCTCCGGCCCCGCCCCCGGCCCCGCCCCCCCGCCGGCCGGGCTCTCTCCGCCGGCCGCGCTATAAGAAGCGGCGCGGGGCGGCGGGGCCGCAGCGGCCGCGGCGGGGGAACGAGATGAGCAGCGCCGGCGCCGCTGCAAGATGCTGGATGGACACGTCCTGCTGGGATGGCTCTCCTCCTGCGCTCTCCTAGGGCTGCTCGCCTGCACCCCGCGGCCCTCCGCCGCCTACTTCGGGTAGGTGCCCAGCGCCCCCGCAACTTCCCCCCCCCCCCCCCCCCCCCCCCCCCCGCTTCCCTTCTCTCCCTGTCCCTCCTTTATTCAACTTTTATTTTTCATAGTTTCTTATCCCTCCCGCCAGAGGTGGGGATGCTGCCGGCAGCCTGCTTCCCCCGGGGGGGGGGGGGGGTGTGTGCGGGCAGCCGCTCCGGTTTTTCCCCCGTCCCGCCGCTCGGAGCTGGGCTCCGCTCCCCCCTCCTTGGGGTGCTGCCTTGCCACGGCCGGGCTCTCCCGGAGCTCCACCTTGCTGCCTGCCGGGAGCTGCCCTGGCTTTTTCTGGTTTTATTTTTTATTTATTTTCTCTTTTTTTTTTTTTGTTGCTGCTGAGGGTGAGGGACCAGTTCCCTTCCGCCCTTCCCCGGCGGGGTGGGCGGGCAGGGAGGGGACCCGGAGCGATGCGGCTCCAGGTGCGTGCTGTCACCACCACCAGCATGGGACAGCCCCGAAAAAAAAAAAACCCTTTTCTCCCCTAATTTAAGTGCACGCTTCAGCACCAGGTGCTGGCAAGCGAGTCCCATCACCCCCACCGCGTTGTGGTGGTGGGTTTGGTGTATTTTTTTTTTTGTTTGTTTGTTTTTATTTTATTTTATTTTTTTTTTTTTTAATGGACGGGGGTGTGCATGCTGCTGTCACCAGCCCGCCGCGGTGCGAAGAGAGCTTGTCCCCCAGTGAGATGAGGGTCCCCCGCGGAGAGGAGCGCGGAAGCCACCGCATCCCGCCGCGCTCACCTGTGCGCGCGGTGCGGGGGCGCGGCCGGCAGGGGGCGCTACCGCTCCGCGCCGCGCAGGTGGATCCCGCTCCCACCCATCGCGCCCCCCCCCCGCCCCGATCCCCTCATCCCCCTTTCCTTGGCTGAGCTGGGAGAACCAAACTCCCCCCCCTTTAAAGCCCCCCCCAAAACCGCCGCCGTGAGGCTTCATCCCGCAGCAAATGCTCTTTTCCCCCCCCTCCGCCCCCCCTTTTTTTACTTTTTGGGGTGACAGTGGAGCTACCTCATCTTTTTTTCTTTTTTTTTTTTTCCCCCCCCCTAATTTTTAAGGACTTGTCCCCAAATGGGGTCGGTTCGTGCAGGGAATGGGATGCGAGCACCTGATCCACAGGTTTCGGTGCAAGTTTCCTCCAGGGTGGTGGTTTTCGCCTCTTTTTTGGGGGGATGCTGTGTTGCGACCGCTGGTAGGAGCCACTGCACCGGCCCTGGAGAATGTTTTAGCAGACTTGAGGGTTTTTTCACCCCCACCCCCCCCCCCGCCCCCCTTCTTTCCAGTAAAACAAATCCTGGTGTTGAGGCTTGTCCATTGCTTGTGGTCTGGCAAAGTTTTCCAAACAGTGCTACTTACATCTTCTGTTTCCAACCCCAGAACCATTTAACTTCCTGCTGCTGGGGCTGATTTTTCTGAGGAAACAGCCCGTCCTGTGTGTGCAGGTTTGTAGGAAAAGCCCTCCTCTCCCTCGGCAGCACGCGGAGGGCTGGGCCGAGCCCGTTAGCTCCGGTGTCTGCCGAAGACCACCGGCACTGTGCAGTTGGATTGTGCCTCAGGGACTGACCGGGCTTGTAAGGAGCTTGGCTGCAAATCTCCTGTTCGTGCACGCGGTGCTGGGATCTGCTGTAGTGCAGCAGGTAACTCATTCCAGTCGCTTGCTTCTGGGGTTTCTCTTCTGGCCTCGTGTGGCTGAAGTAGATTTTTTTAACTTAAGAGTAAACCTGTTGAGCCAAGGGAAGTGTGCTGCTAGGTCTGTCCCGACCACTTTGTGTTATTCTCCCTGTCTCGGTGCGGCTGCTCTTTCGGATTTGAGACTCCCTCTCTGGCAAGAAGGAGGGGAGAGGAGATGCTGCCAGATGTGCGCCCAGCCAGATGTGCACTCCAAGTGCTCTGAGGCCGCTGCAGTGTGCGGTGAAGTTTGCTCATGCCGAGCATCCCGCGCTCTCGTTTAGAGCCATGGCGAAGGAGCAGCATCTGCTGCTAATCTCCTCTTTGTTCTTCCAAGGGGCCTAAAGCAGAGATCACACTTGCTGAGGACACGGGGGGGGGAATAGTCAGTGCTGAGGTCCAGGGTCCCTGCTAATCCCCAGCGATATGTGATTTAACAAGTGTGTGTGGAAAAGCTGAGCGCTCCTTGCTGCGGGTTTCTGTGTATCAATCGGGAGAGAAACTCTCACCTGGTAAAAGCTGGATAGTCCTGCAGAGCTCTTGGTGCCTCTGCAAGTGCCCTGGGAAGGCTGCTATTAGCCCTTCTTACTATGCCTAGAGAGGTAGCCAGATCCACGGAGGAGCTGCTCCAGGTGAGGAAACACATCTGTTTGTTAGAATATAAATCTTTCCGAAAGGTTTGGATGCAGGGTGCATCACCCTTTGCTCAGGAACTGAGTGGACACGCTGAAGCAGGCTTAGTTAATGCAACACCCTTTCTAGGCAGGGGAAAGGGACACGCCTGCCCAGCCCAAGGTATCATCAAAGCCACCGTGATGCTTTTTGGTGGCCTGCTAGACCCTCTGCTCCGGGTGCTAAGGTCCCTGTCGGAGGAGAGCGGGGCGCAGGAAGCGGCTGGGTTTAAACAGATGTCACGCTGGAGCTGCAGCTTAGCTGCTCTGTTCCACAGGCTGGTGGGGGATAGGGACAGCTGTGGATGATCCCTTCCCCCCCCCCCCCCCCCCCCTTATCCCCAAAGTCTTATTTCAGGGAAAGAATTCAGTGTCTCCAAATGTGTGGCCTGGAGGGGAATTAGTGCGGGGGGGGGGGGGACGACGACACGACAGAAATTGGGCATGGTTACACGATAACAAGATTGTGTCAGCGTGTAGTTATGTCTGTGCCTGTCCCCCAGGGGCAGCTAGAGAGCGGGAGGGGATGCTGGGGGGGGGGGGTGGTGGTGGTGGGGAAAAGGCCACGGCTGGAGGCTGCTGCTTCTCTGTATGTCTGGCTCTGGTGTTCTTAGAGGGATGCACAGCAGCCAGAAATGATAAATACCCCTCTGGAAGTAGAGCTCGGCGTTGGTGCAGATGGGGCCCTCGCTGCTGTCTTGCTCCTGGTTAGGCCACGGGGTGGGTGGGGGGTGGGTGGGTGGGGGGAGGATAGGACAGGCTTGTCCCTTGCTTAGGGTTATGCTGATAGCCTCAGTGTTTCTCCCTGGGCGTTGCTGCCCTCCTCTCTGGTGCAGGAGAGAAGTAGGTGCTGCGTTAACCCAGAGTTGGTACGCAAAGGCAAGACCTGGAGTGATGCTGACACGTAGCAGTGAGCAGAGCTGAGTCCCTATAGGCACCTGCTCAGCAGGGGTTTGCCGGCTTTAATTATTGGAAAGCAGCTGGAAGAGGCTGGCTTCAGGGATGTGGGGATGCTGCAGCTCCGAAGCCTCGTCTGATAAGAGACTTCTCGATGCTAGAGAGGAGAAAGCACGCCTGCAAAATTGAGCAGGACCTGGTGGCTTGTGGTAGGTTTAGAGTTGCCCATCAAGGAGGTTTAGTGATGATGGTGCGTTTTAGGGTAGGAGCACGTGTGGGAGACTCTTACGGGCTGAGTCTATACGGGAGGGGGAAGCATTGCCTTGAGATAAGCATCAGCTGAGACTAGCTTGTTGAGATGCACTGGATTTTCTAAAAGTGAGCCTGCTTTGCTGTTCAGCCATGTCCTCTGCAGCTGGGCTGTCCGAAAACTATGTTGCACCATATTACAACTGGCCGATGGGGGTAGTTTGGAGCAGCCCCAGACTGCTAAGATCCCTGAGAAAGCATTGCATTTCATTTTTCTTCCCTGCTCTGCTTTTCTTGTGCCTGACAAGCTTTGGGTGTGGGTACCTCCCCTCCCTCCCTTTCCTCTCTCCAATGTGGCGAAGGGGTGGTGGAAATGCCATAGCACCATCTGGGAATTGTGTTGGGTCTTGCGCTACTGGGCTTTGGAAGTGGCAGATGACAAGATTAGCCATGCTGGGGTGACGGGCAGGCTGCTTAACTTCAGTCCTGCTGTGCCCTGGTGCTAGCGGGGAGGGAAACCGGCCCGCAGGAGCTTTCTCCTTTCCCGAGTTGCCTGGGGCTCTGAGGATGCAACCTGCCCAGGCCATAAATCCAAACCCCTCTATTTCTTTCTGGGTTTTCTGATATATAGTCTGATTCAGTTTTGATGCAATTTTTTTTTTTTTTTTTTTTTCCCCCCTTGCTGGGAGAAGTGTCGGTTTCTGCAAGTTGGGATTTGCTCTTCTTTCCTCCCCGTAGCAGCAAAAGCCGAGCAGCTCTGCCCTCTCTGCAAACACTTGTCAAGACAGTAGTAATGTTACAAGTGGCTCATGCTTACATAGTGTTTATATTGACAGATTGCAATGTTCTTCATAAATGTAACTGATCCCTACACCGCACGCAGGCAGCAGGAACCCTTAAATGCTCGCGTGGGGGAGAGGGAGGGAGGGGAAGCATAGCTTGCCCTAATTTACCAACACATTGCAAGAAGGAGCAGGCTTTTTACTGTGTGGTGGGTTTTTTTTTTTTTGGTGTGGGAAGTGCAATATATTTTTCTTCTCATTGGCAGGTACAGAATAGGTACCCTGCTATGCTTTGGGTGCTGCTGGGGTAGAAATATGACGTGCCCTGCAAGCCAGGGTGTGATTCTCCTAAAATTACTTAGAAAATATATGACTACTGGACTTGAAGGGGCATTCAGGGGTTTTGACCACCCCGATGGGGTGGGATTTTAAGGGGGGCTGAGAGCATGAGCTTCTGAACCCTGTCGTTACAAGTGTGTGGCATCAGCTTGAAAGCCCTGTCCAATAAAAGCAAGTCCACTGGCAGGCTTTGCCTGTTTTTGCCAGCCTGCGGGCTCTGCTAGGTGTTAACATGGCTCTTGCATATCAAGAATTTCGGTACCTGTCACTTGATGGTAGTGTGGGGCCACACGCTTGCGTTTGCAGCTCCGGCCGAAGGCGTGTGAACTCCTGGGGAAGCTGTTGCGTAGCCAGGCCACAGCCCGTTGGCT